TTTTTTTTTTTTTTTTTTTTTTTTTTTTAATTTTTTTTTTTTTTTTTTTTTTTTTTTTTTTTTTTTTTTTTTTTTTTTCTTTTTTTGATAATCCAGGGTTCCCCGCTTCGCGGGTCATTCCCTGGGCCCGGTCAGGCAGCGGTCCACTTCACCCGGGAGGGTTATACCTGAGCCTAGGCCCAGTACCACTTTAATGACATGGAAGAGGCAGTTCGCCACCGCCTGGTGTCGAACCCGTGAGCATGACAATTGGCCCCCAAGGTCCTTTGCCAGGCGGGCTACCTCCATTTTTTTTTGCCTTTTGTAACGAAAGTTCGTTCAACTCCAAAGATTATTAATGAACAAGAAGGTGGGAGCTGTCCTTGGCAACACAAAGTGTCGGTATAAGATAACACGATAACCACACACTCACAATCTTTTTTCTCTCTTTTTGGTTACTTAGCAATGAGTTCTACATCTTTCTGAATTATTTATATGATCTATGTAGATGCTATATGATTTTGATTTCTAAACCCTTTTAACTAATCAAAATATATATACTTATAAAAAATAAAAAATATATATATGCATATTGACAAGAAAAATTCCAGTTTCTTTTGTCACTCTTTTCTATTTTGTCATTTTTTATAATTTGGTTCTCATATTTTACTATATGAATTCACCAATTTCTAAACCCTGATACTTATAAAAAAATAATCAATATATATAAGAAAAAATTCAATTTCTTATTTTGTCATTTTTATAATTTGGTTCCCATAATTTAGTATATGATTCACCAAGCCAAGCAATGATAATGTTTCCTATTCTACAAGGCCGATATAGACACAACTAAACTAAGTATGGCTCTGAATGCAACTCGGAGTTTTATAACCAAAGTTTGGGGAAATTTTGCTTTTAGTTCTTTTAACGTTAACAAAAAATATACGTACGAGGTTCTCCACTAACTACGCTAAACAGTTGAAAACAGAAAGAGAGATAGGAACATACGGAAATGCCAAAGGAGAAAGATGCGGAGACAATGATGAAGGTGGAGAAGACAAGAAGCAGAGTTGTTCTTGCAGTGACCTCTTCCCTATTCACCAATAATAATCCTTTCTCCATACTATTTTCTCCTTCCATTTTCTTCACTCAAATCCTAGGATCAGAACAATAGACAAAAAATTATTTCGGGAGAAAAAAAAAAAGAGAGAGAATTTTTTGTGGAGACAAGTGTGCTCTCTCCTTATCTATATATTGATATAAACTAGCTCGTATTGGCTAACCATCGACCAAGATGAAAAAAAATATCAAGCTCTGTTGTGATGTAGACGTATCAACCTATTATTGTGTCTAGGTTCATGTTCGTTGTTTGTATCAACCAAAGCATACGTACAGTCTGACACACTTTTAGGTTATTTTCTTAGTTACGGCTTTGGTTTTGTTTTGTCTACAATAACTATAATAGCTCATCTAAATAGTTGAATAACGTTGTTCCATAATAGATTGTTAGCCAAAGGCATCATGTTGCTGTTATGGTTTGTTTGAATTTATTGACTTTAAGATAAGACTAGAAACAGGACATCAACTTGAGATACCTATCGTAAGAATGAGGTAAAGGAAGAAAAGAACCAACAAGTCACTCAATCTATAGAGTTTGAGATACTCACGTAACAAGTACATATATGTGGCTTTTAATTAAAGTCTTGAATCGAACAGTTCAAAAAAAAAAACAAATAGGTTTTGAATTGAAATTGAACTTAGTATTTATGGCATACGTCGATCTGCTCGGTTTGGATATAAGTTAAACGCAATTCAATCTTAGTTTTTCATTAGTTAAAAGTTGACCCTCGAATGTAGAAACGCCAAGTTTTCAATGGTTGATTCATTGAACCAAGACGCAACACACAACAAGTCTTACAAGGAATGCAATTGAGACCCCCACTCAACTAAAATCCCCACTCCTTATCATATCAATCATCCTTACAATGGTAGTGAATACTGTCTTTGTTATAAAAGATGTACATTTTAGAATTTTCAAACATATTAAAAATATTAAATTTTGATTAGTAATGTGTTTTTGTAATTAAATATTTTTTATAATTTTTAACCAATAAGATTTCAATAAATAAAATTATTATTTTTGAAATTCACAATTTAGCATTACTTAATGTATTGAAAAGTAAAAATTTGTATCTTTTAAAACAAATTATTTATGGACGGAAAATTTGTTAATTTGACTGATTTCACCAATAAAATAGATTCTGGTCCGTTGCAATGGTCGGATCCGCTGGATATCAAAATTTTGTAAATATTATATTTTTACTACATCTGTATTACAAGATATATATTTCAGAATTTTAACAATAGATTAAGAAAATATGTTAAATTTTGATTACCAATACATTATTGTTTATAAGTAATTACTCCGTAATGTTTAATCAATAGAATTTAAATAATTATGTTTTGTGAAGTTTACAAATTATCATGAATTAATATATTGAAATATATAAAATGTATTTTACTAAAACAATTTTTTAAAAGCATACTGTAATTTGTTTTTTGGAACGTTGGGAATATCAGTTAATTAATAATTCCATGAGATTTCGTGTCACTGAATATAGTATTAAGAAAATCCTTCCAAGAAAATATTAAAAGTGCTATATTGGCCAAGATCACAAGAATCTAGATCGGTATGATGTGCACTACATACATTAGGCAAGTGGGTAAACTTTATTCTTATGGTTGACTTTTGGGGACCGCAGATTAAGGAATTAAGCACGTTGGTGAAAGAGTGTCACTTAGTGGATCTTGTCCTAACAAAAAACTAGCTCTCTTCATTAGGCTTCTTCAGCTTGAAGTATCTCCAGCTCTTTACTTCTTCAAGCACACACAAAAAAACACTCTTTTTCCCCCGCACCTCTCGGATCTCAAATAGCGTTTTAACTTAAGAGATTGTCAAAGCAAACTCATGAACATCCTCAACTTTTCTTGGAGATACCAAATAGGAAAGGTTTCCATCACAACATCAAGAACCGAACATCTCTTCTTATCTGGTAATAATGTCTTTCAATAGATATGAACTTTGCCTTAGCTTCTGTCTTAGGTTTACATTTTCCTCTGTTTTACTCAGGTCAAGATTAGAACTTAGTTCTTATGGGGAGATCTTGTTTGCCGAGATGGCGTTTAGGAAAGTTAATGGCAGGATTACAACTGATCCTAGGGTTAGTAGTGATCACTGTGAGCCTCTCATGTCTCTATAGATTCCATTCCGCTGGTTACTTCTTGCACAACGAAGACATTTGCCGTACCATCTACACAATCAAAGAAGTCAAGAACGAAGGATTTGACCTAAAGGCCCTACACGATCGCGTTGATGATGTCCTTGAAAAGATGGATAACTTGTACGACAAGCTAGAGAATACAGTAAAAGAAATGGAGAAGAGCAAAGACGGAAGCAAGAAAGAGATCAAGAAGTTTCTTGAAGACGAAGTAATGAAGCCATTTTATCATGTTCACATCGGTTTAAGGCAAATACGTTTACCAAACCCTGAAGGAATCAGAAACTCAACGGAGAAGGAAGAGCCCTTGATCAACAAGTTTCTCGTTGAGGAGATAAGGAAGTATATAACCCCCAAGGAGAATCGTGTTGGGAAGGTGAACATGTTTGGAACAGAGATGGTTTACAACACAATAGGTCATGCATGTGTGTTGATGAAGATGGAGTTAGAGAAGTACATGGATTATGACGTTGGAGCTTATTGTGATGATGATTGGAACTTAGCACAGAAGCTTATGGTTAACGGGTGTGATCCGTTGCCTAGAAGACGGTGCTTAACAAGAGCTTCCATGACTTACCAGAAGCCTTATCCAATCAATGAGTCGTTATGGAAGCTCCCAGATGATAGAAACGTAAGGTGGGGAAACTACCAGTGCAGGAACTTCGCGTGTTTGTCAAGTAAAAACCCTAAAAGGGGTTACACAAAATGCACTGGATGTTTTGAGATGGAGAAAGAGAATACTAAATGGGTCAAGAACAGTACTCTGTTAGCTGATTTCAAGATTGATGAGGTTTTGAGAGTGAAGCCTGGTGAGATTAGGATTGGTTTGGATGTTGGTGTTGGGACAGGAACATTTGCAGCAAGAATGAGAGAGAAGAATGTGACTATTGTCACTACTGCTCTGAATCTAGGAGCTCCTTTTAATGAGATGATTGCGTTGAGAGGTTTGATCCCTTTGTACATCTCTTTGAACCAGAGGCTACCGTTTTTCGACAATACAATGGATATGATTCATACTGCTGGATTAATGGATGGTTGGATTGATCTTCTTCTGATGGATTTTATCTTATATGATTGGGATAGAGTGCTGAGACCGGGTGGGTTGCTGTGGATTGATAGATTCTTCTGTAAGAAGAAGGATCTTGATGACTATATGTACATGTTCCTGCAGTTTAGGTACAAGAAACACAAGTGGGCTATTTCACCTAAGTCTAAGGATGAAGTTTATCTCTCTGCATTGCTTGAGAAACCTCCTCGTGCAATCTAATTACAAAAGTTTTAAGCTTATATGTTTGTATCAGACATTCTAATTCATTTTGATTGTCTAATCTCTCTGTTCACTTTGAAAACATTTAGACTATTCCCAGCTCTGTTTGACTTTTGATGGAAAATTATAATAAAAAGCCTAAACTCCAGAATCAAGCTTGATTACAGTAACTAATCTACCTCTGCTCAAGCTGTTATGCACCCATAACTTCCAACACCCTTTCTGTCAGGTGAAGATGACATCATCTACTCTAAGTTAAGAAGGAGAATGGACGTTTAACTTGGTACTAGAGAGAGGATTTGAGTCTTGATTCGTCCCATACACATTTGGATTTCTCTGTAGATTGGTTGGTTCTGGGGGCATCGAGGCTGCAAGCTTGTAACTGCTGTGTCTATAAGCTGTGCCACATCAGCTGGAGGGTACTGCCTCTCCGTGCACATCTGCAAGTCACAAGAAAGCAAAGTTCAATGAAGTACTATGATGATGATGATGCAGTTTGATCCATAAAGGCTTTTCCAGATAATCTCGTTGGGTATGCAAATCCTTCCAAGCAATTTTCTGATTACCTGAATCATGAGCCAAGAGGCAACACAGGATGTAATTAACTCTGCAGACATTTGAGCTTCGTTTTTCTCTGAACCATCTTGTGAGATGAAACCGTTGGTAGCCATAGTCTTTGATGCGTCTGAGGGAGATGTGTTTTGTTGATGCTCTATGCCGCCATTTGCATGCTCTTCATGTTTGACCATAGAGCTCCGCAACGGCTGATGTCTGCCAACCATATCTAAGGCTTCTTGGATCATTTTGATAGCATCTTCTCCTTCCTTCACAGATGATGCAGCCTAGAACCGTAGAGTAACTAGAACTTTAGCAAAACATATGTATGTTACAAGTGAATTTATGAAAATGGCTGAATCAATACCTTTATAGCTGCATCCACCATTGCTTGTGCTCTTGTCTTTGAACCCTTGACAATCTCTACAATCTCAGGCTCCATTTCCTGTCAAACAGCACAGATATAAGTTAGTTAAAGCTATTCATAAGGCAGAGTATTAACCAACACAAGTACCTTTTCATCTAAAGCATGCTGTAGTGCAACTGCTCGTTGAATCTCAGGTTCTCGTCCTTTGCTATAATTTATGATATGTGGCTGATTAGTCTGATGTGGGCTACTGTTAGTGTTGGTTAACACTTTACCATGCAGAATGGGAGCAATCATACCACCCTGCCGAGAATCAACGCGTTATCCATAAGATATACAGAGTCTGTACGAGAAGATCTAAGAAGGTAAGTGGCTGTGACAGAATTAGTCACCTGATTCAGAGATTGATTCATGGAAAAGTCGACATTTTCAAGTCCGGATGGAGGGAATATAACAGACACACCACTTAGCTGTGCTTCTTTCTTTATGGACAAACACTTATCAACTTGCCTCCTTAGACCCTCTGGCATGTATTCTAACGGACTTGAAGGCATACAATCAATGTCCTGTTGAAAAAGGAGACGATCGATATTTATAATCTATAAATCATAAAAGATTGGATTGTGAGTATACTATTTGAAGTTACCTTAACTAACTCAACGCCCAAGTCGTCGAACAGAACGTTGCATTGGCTATGGTCAACAGTGATAATTTTCCCATCATGAATCTCTCGTGTTTTGGGATGGATGGCAATGACTCTATTCCCAACTGCTAAAGGACGAGCCAAATCTGTAGGAAGCCCTTCCCTAGCACCAGTTCTAAGCTCTGTATAATGCTTTCTCACAGTCTCACGGTACTGTTTGAGTTTCTCCCGCTCTTCCTGTAAAAACCTCTCGGAGAATCTTCGGGGTCTACCAAGTGAGCTGCATAAAACAAACAAAGAAAGACAACCTTTAAAAAATATATCTATATTCTCCGGAAGCATTTGCATATACAAACCTTTTAATGACGCTCCATTCAAGACGAGTAAGTCTTGGAATGTGACCAAGTCCTACGTGATTTAGGTAATCGACAAACTCCATCTTTGCAAACCAGGGTTGGTCGATAGCACTGTAAAACCATTCAAATATACACCTTCGACGTGCCAAGGGATGCGATAGAGAAGTAGAAAGCTTATCCTTTAGTAACAACTCATGTTCTGAAAGAGATCTCGAGCTACGGGCAGCTTTATGCATGAGTTTAGAAGATTTATCCCTGTCCTGCAAGCTTTTCTTCAGACTGATCTTACGCCTGTTTGGAGGCTTCTGCGGTAAACTGGCTGGACCCGAATCAGAAACTTCTTTAGTTGCCACTTCTACATCAATCACAGATCTCTTCTTATCACTCGTTGTAGTGGATTCCTCCAACTCCTTAACAGCTTTCAACTGTTTTGACTGAAGGGAGCCTTGACCAGAGCGTTTTATTTTGAGTGAAGACTTTATATTAAGGTCTTCTTGAGCCAATTCCTTCATCACAATAAACCAAATTAAGAGGATAGTAATCACAAGATTAGAGATTTAACTATGATTAAAAGTTAATGTACTTTCTTGTTTGTGGATTTCTTCCGAGTAGATTCAGTTGGAGTTTCATCCCAAAGCTTCTGAAAATTAAAACACAATTCATATATTTAGCTCAAGATGCTTAGAAGAAAGTGTATAAAACTGAGAGAACTATCTTTTGCTAACCTTTGGTTTCCGCTGTCTTCTTAAACTGCCACTAGTAGGCTCCGGTTCTAGCTTCTCCGTGGGAACAGCATTACAATCAGTGGATGGTTGCCTTGAAGTTTTTGATTTTCTACTGTAAACAGCATTCCCAATAGCAGAAATTGCATGAAGGAGACTATCATCTGGTTCTGAATCTGCTTTTTCCCCATGGCTTCTTAGCGACGTGGCTTCTGGTGAGCTAGATTTCTCTTCCATTTCGTTTTCTATTCTCTCTTCCTTCAACTGGGGAGAAGATTCTGGACGCAATGCAATATAGTACAATATACGTGAGCCAATAGTAAAAACTGCAGAGCTCTTCTTATTAACCCTTTACATACTCTTTGAGAGAAAAGCATAAAATTTCAGTTATCTTTGGTGCCATGGTTTAAATTACAAGCAAAACCACACAAAGCTCACCTGATTCCATAAATGCTCCCGGAAGCAATGAAGCTGACAAATCAGCCAAGGCTTGCAGAGCATCAAATTCATCTACACAGGAAAAAATACAGGCAATAAGTTTCAGATCCCCATCATATGTTTTCAGCATAAGATGATGCATACTTAACTTAAATGAACAATGCAGAAAACATAATCAATCAAATCTCACAACAGTAATAAAGCTTTTAAACCAAAAACATGTAAGAGCCCAACTTTCCTGACAGAAAGGGCTAAACCTGAGAACATATTATTGGAAACTGTAATCTCTTTTACCTCCGGTAGTAAGTTTGTCATCTCTTTTCTTTGGGCTGCGTGGTGAATATGTGCCTCTGGAGGCTTCAGCACCTGCCTTTCGTCTCTTTGATTTTTTTCTGCTCCCCTCAGTGGCACTACATGCCCCTCCATTGTCATCAGAATAATTACATTCTGCTTCCTCGACTTTGACTCTTTTCTTGTAGACCCTTTTCACCTTCCGTGGAACCTTCATTTCCCCAACTCCTTCCATATCCATCAACAACGCATCCTCTCCATCAGATTCAAGCTTCTTTCCTCGGCTACTTCCCACCCACGGTTGAGCTTTTCTCGTTCCCGACTGGTCAAAGGACAAAGTTGAGTAGTGCTTTTCAGTAAATCAATATTCCACATAAAATATATAAAAGGAAGTTTCTAGGGCTCGAGAGCTACCGTTTTCCCCCAGCTCTTTATTGGCGAGTTGTCGTTGGGTTCTGTTCTTCTATTTGGTGATTCAGAAACTTGTGGAGACCCTTCCCTTCTAGATGCGTCTGTTGATGTCAATGCTAAAAAATCTGCAACAACATTGGCATCAAGTTGCTTTCTGACTCTTTTATTTGGTGGAGTAGAGCCTTCTCCATCATCTCGTGAAGTTTGTACAAGAACCCGAGGTGTACGTTTGCCAGTGGCACGTTGATGAGTTCCTACATGAATTAAAGAATCAAATTTACAGTAACCATTTGAGTTGGCTTTCTTCAGAAGAGAATAATACTTAATATAGTGTAGGCACTTTACCATTAGCTCTTGCTTGTTTCAAAAATTTGAGACATCCATCAGTAGACGCAACTTGATGTTCCTTATCCACTTCCTCTCCAGAATCACTAAGCTGAGGTTTTGCACGTTTGCGCTTTTGCTGTTTCTTCGGCGCCTCTGGAACATCATGGCCTTCTCCTTCACTGCCACTCCCTTCCTAGAAGAAGACCATAAGAATGTGACTACATAACTTCATCCAATATAAAAACTGACCCAACAGATTGCCACTTAGGTAACACAAAACTCAGAGTTTGATAGTTTTTACTGTCTACTCACGCAAATTACAGGAGGGTCATTTCACCAACCACCCACATTTTCAACCGCAAAAATTCTCATCTACAGTCACTTCACCGAATGTCATTGTTCTGCCAGTAATAGTTAAATAGAATTCTCACCATGACAGTGTAATGATCCGTCATCATAGCAATAAGGCCAGCTACAGAGGCAGTTCCCTCCGGAAGAGATAAATATGCCTGTAAAAGGAAACAAGTCTTATGAATGCATAGTTATCTAAGTCTCACGAATACTAAGTGAGATACAAGATGTATTGATTCGTACCCGATTCATGTTAAAAAGGGCTTCCACCATGTCAACAGACCTGCTATTCCGAATCGCAGCAGCCACCTGGACAATAAAAAATACTCTTGAGACCAATGAAACTCAAATGTGAGTGAAGGAGTTTAACTTACTTTTCTCCAGTCCTTCCCATACTTTCTGTAAGAGTCATAGAAACGCTGAAGCTCTGCTTTGCTCCACTGAGGTCCCAGCTTGTCAGACATTTTCACCTTCTACGATGAGCAAAGTTAATAAACACATCTGAGTAACAAACATGTCATTTCTAAATTCAAGTAATGAAGACCAAAAAAAAAATACTCACACGCTGCTTATTTTTTCTAGAGCTCCCAGCGTCTTTTCTCGGCGAAGGTTCATTGGTGAAACGCTTGTTCACACTCCTCGACTTCCTAACCGCCGGTGCCATTTCTGACCAAAGTATTTTAATTAGTTACAAACTACTCCAAAAAAATTAGACAACTTTAAAATTGATCAACAGACATTTTGCCAAAAATTAAAACTTTACTAAAATAGAACTAAAACCCAGTTCTTGGATCAGACAAAAAGCACTGTCGGGAACATAAATAGTAGTATCTGCAGTATCGAGATGAGGGAAAATTTAACGAAAATCAGAATTAGATTCAACATTGGGTGTTCTAAAAACCTCAAAGTAACCAACTTCATGAATCAATATTGATTGTGACGACAAGACATCGAAAAATCATTCACACAGGAACAAACTTTTTTTTCTGTTGACTCACAAAGGAGCAAACTTTCGAGGAGATATATTAAGAGATTAAGTATAAACACAAAAACGAACCGAAACGCCCTTCGACAGAGCTGAAAAAATCTGTAACGAAGACTAATCTGAAACTGATTGTTCTAAAAAAAACATCAATCGAGTGAAATTTAAAAATCCCAGCTGAGGAAAAAAAAAAGAAGGGAACTAGATTCAAAACGACGCGGCTTTGAAACGAAGAACTAGCACAAAAGTGTAGACAAATCGAACGAAGACAATTCAAATGGAGAAAAGGAAAACACTTTGAAAAACCCTAATCGAAAAACAGATCCACAGGCGATTCACTAACCAATTACACAGTAGATGCCGAGCACACATAGAAAGCAAAACGCAGTAGGTTTGGAGTGAGAAAGAAGGAGCCTTTACTTTCAGAAAAGAGAGATCGATGACAAAATTTGAAACCAAAGGGTTTTAGAGAGAGAAGGTTTTAAAACAAACCAAAAAAAAAAAGATAAGAGAGAGAGAGAGAGAGAGATTAGAATTAGGGAAAGGAAATGAGAAGAGATGTTGCCGCGAAACTTGAATAGAAGGAGGTCTTCAGCCAATTAGCATTCCCCATCTGTCATTTTTCTTGTTTTCCTATTTATTTTCTTCCTTTATTTTGTTTCACTCTGAATTTCAGAAGCTAATCCTGAACGTTCACGTCCACTAAGAATTTATAACCGTTCGATATGCTAGTTTTACTTGAGTGGACAGTGGTACCGGAAGCAGAGGATTGTATTTAAAAAATATGGGAATTTTAAAATGGAAAAAATAAAAAATAATTATGTAAGATTTAATTAATCAAAAGGTAACCTTACTTCATATACACAGAGTAACATATGAGGGGAAATTATTGTATACTTTTTAAGTTTATGAAACTGCTAAAAATAGCTTAGTGGACTTAAAGATCAGAAAATTAACTATAGTGTAATTATTGACTCTATTTCTAGTAATGTTAATGTGTAAACTGTATAGTTTATATGGGCTTTTCTTGCTTAGTTACTTACTTTTCAATAGTCAACTATAATGGGCCATTGGGCCGGACATGGCATTAGTTAAGTTACAAATAGTTAAGAAGTATGGGGGCTGGTTTGCAATTTTCGACAAGTTATATTCATTTTCATTATCATCTCCTCCAACTCAGTTGTGTGATTCTCCTGCCATCGCCGGCGATGACTCCTCTAACCCTTTCGTCTCCGTCTTTCAACCGTCTCCTTTTCTTCACCTCCCGTTACTCTCACTCTCCGTTTCTTCTCCGCAATTTCAGTTCCTTCCCTTTGATCCAACGGAAACTACCTCACAATCATCTCCTCGGCGTAAGGTGCGAAGCTAGTAGCACAAGCTCTTCCCCCTCCTCCTTCACCGCAAAGTCTTCCAAAGAGATTCGAAAGGCTAAAATCGAAGTAGTTGTGGACGAGAAGCTCACCGCGCTACGGCAACAGTTTCTTAAACCGGGCGTTGGAATCGATGCTTACATCATACCTTCCCAAGATGCTCATCAGGTTTTGTTTTTTTATCAATCTGTTGTTCTTATATGTATCTCTGTTAGCTATGTGAGTTTGATTAGCTTGAGATTACGCATTGGGATGTGATTACACATTTGCATGTTACTATGTTAGTACAGTTAGCTCATGTTTTCAAGAACATATGTCATTGTTTCTGGTCATATAATGTATTGTTATTTTTTTTTTTTGAGATGTCTTTGGTGAAAGTTTAGATCTTTGGAGCTTTACGATCTTTCTATTATAATTTCTGTTGCTTGGAATTATTTTTGTCTGTGCCATTTTGGGAATATAAAAAAAAAATTGTTCTGCTTCGAAGTTGGATCCAAGGGTGTTTCTTTTAATGGCTTGAGTGTGATTTGTCTTTATGTTGGTGGTAGAGTGAGTTTATAGCAGAGTGCTATGCGAGGAGGGCTTTTATATCAGGGTTTACTGGAAGTGCTGGTACGGCTGTTGTCACTAAAGATAAGGCTGCTCTATGGACAGATGGTCGCTATTTTCTTCAGGTTTTCATCATATTTCCATTTAATCTTTTTGTAATGTTTGAATTAGCATCTTTTACAGACATTTGAAAAAAGGATTATGTTTTTTTTTTTTGTTTAAAAGGCGGAGAAGCAATTAAACTCTAGTTGGACTCTCATGCGTGCTGGTAATCCGGGAGTCCCTACTGCAAGTGAATGGGTAGCTGATGTTTTGGCTTCTGGTGGAAGAGTTGGTATTGACCCTGTAAGCTGCTCTCGAACCTTCTAAATTGTGCTCCAGTATATCTATCTTTCCCTCAATCTAAAAAAAAAAATCAATATACACACTTGGGAAAGGCGTTTTTCCTTCTTTTTTCAGTATGTTCTTTTGAATTTACATCAAGCGTTTGATAAAGTATATACCTTTGAATCTAGAGAACATAACTTCTATGCATGAGGCAAATAATATTGGTTTCCTTCATCCTTTTGTAAAGCAATCTGGTGTTTTCTAGTTTGTAATTTGTATTTATAATACTTTGGAATTCATGAAGGGAGCAGTTCCTTTTTTCTGCCGATGCAGCTGAGGAATTGAAGGAGGTTATAGCAAAGAAGAATCATGAGTTGGTTTACCTGTACAATGTAAATCTTGTGGATGAAATATGGAAAGACTCGAGGCCAAAGCCTCCAAGCAAACAAATAAGGGTACATGACTTGAAGTATGCTGGTGTAGACGTGGCGTCAAAATTGTTGTCTCTGAGAAATGCAATTATGGATGCTGGCGCATCTGCCATAGTGATATCCATGCTTGATGAGATTGCATGGGTGCTTAATCTGGTAATACTTCAGATACAACATCTTACCTTAGTCACTGTGATTTTGTGCCACTAATATAGCAGTTTTTCTTCACCTAGCAACCAATTCATAGATATTGTATTGTATCTTTTCTTAACTGCAGAGGGGGAGCGATGTTCCACATTCACCTGTTATGTACTCTTATCTGATTGTAGAGGTTGACCAAGCCCAGCTCTTTGTAGATGATATCAAAGTAAAGGCGGATGTGAAAGAACATTTGAAAAACGCAGGGATTGAACTTAGACCTTATGATTCCATTCTTCAGGAAATAGATAGGTAAGAATTTGATTGACCATGTCCATTATACGTTTCAGTTACAGAAATTTTCGTACTGCCCTATTCAAATTTCTACTTTACCTTACTTTGAGTTATCTCAGTCTGGCAGCGCGAGGAGCTCAGCTCTTGATGGATCCATCAACCATCAACGTAGCTATCGTTAGTACCTACAAATCTGCGTGTGAGAAATATTCGAGGGAGCCCGGAAGCAAAGAAAAATCTAAGACAAAGTCTACTGATGGTTCCAACGGATACCCTGCGAAACCCTCTGGCATTTACATGCAGTCTCCTATTTCCTGGTCAAAAGCCATTAAAAATGATGCCGAGCTACAGGGGATGAAGAACTCTCACTTGAGGTAAAGGGACTCTTTGCAATACCATATTTTTCCAATTCAGCTGCCTTTAGAGGATTTGAGTTATTTATGGAAGATTGTTCTTTTGTACTTCCTAATGCTAAATATATTTGGCTGAACAAATTTTATGCAGGGATGCTGCTGCTCTAGCTCATTTTTGGGCTTGGCTGGAAGAAGAAGTGCACAGGAATGAAAACCTAACAGAGGTAGATGTCGCCGACAAGCTCCTGGAATTCCGTTCAGTGCAGGATGGGTTTATGGATACAAGCTTTGATACGATAAGTGGTATGGTTATCGTCATCCTTACTGCTGGAGCTTCTCAATACAGAATATATACTCAGTGACTGATGCTGACTCCTTTCCTCAAATTATTCCTGCAGGTTCCGGTGCAAACGGAGCTATTATTCATTATAAACCAGAGCCAGAGAGCTGCAGTCGTGTAGACCCTCAAAAACTTTTCTTACTCGATAGTGGAGCTCAATACGTCGATGGAACAACAGATATCACCAGAACAGCACATTTTAGTGAACCTTCTGCCCGAGAAAAGGAATGTTTCACCCGAGTTTTGCAGGTGTGGCACTTGGCTCTTCTTTTACCCATCTTTCTTGATTGTAAATATTGAACAGAGAGATCTGTGTGGGATGCCTTTGTCTGATTGTTTTTTTTTGGTTGCAGGGTCATATAGCTCTTGATCAAGCCGTGTTCCCAGAAGGTACTCCTGGTTTTGTATTGGATGGGTTTGCACGCTCTTCTCTATGGAAAATCGGACTTGATTACCGCCATGGTAACTCTATTCTGCCTTTCAACTTTGTTCATAGGAAGGAACTCATGTTGATCTGATATTTTGTCTGCCTAACAGGGACAGGACACGGTGTAGGTGCTGCACTCAATGTTCATGAAGGTCCTCAAAGTATTAGCTTTCGGTATGGAAACATGACCCCTATTCAGAGTGGCATGATAGTAAGCAATGAACCAGGATATTATGAAGACCATGCTTTTGGAATCAGAATTGAGGTGCGACTTGGTCACTAGTTCATGATCATCGTTATAAGATGTATCAGAATAGTTAGTTAACAATTATATGACTTTGCTTTTGCAGAATCTCCTTCATGTGAAAGATGCTGAAACACCGAACCGCTTTGGTGGTGCTACGTACCTTGGATTTGAGAAGCTTACATTCTTCCCCATTCAGGTACAGAGTGACTTATAAATCATTTATCTGTCATTCTAGCTTCTCGCTTTTCTTTTCATCTCTATCTCACGCAACTCTCGGTTACCAAATAATGCAGACAAAAATGGTTGATGTTTCTTTACTGTCTCATGCTGAGATTGACTGGCTTAATAGTTACCACGCTGAAGTCTGGGAAAAGGTTAGTCCACAAAAGTTATCTTTTGTTTTCTCCACAAGTCATGTTCCTAGCAAGTCATCAACAACACATGGCTTTACTTTTCGTAGTATACTAATACATCAAAGGCCTTAACATACGAAGCAGTTGTTTGAACGGATTGATGTTTCCTTGGCAGGTTTCACCTTTGTTAGAAGGTCCTACTCAGCAATGGCTATGGAACAACACTCGTCCTTTAGCCAAACCATGATCGTTTGTGTAAAATTACAAAATGTAATATTTTTCTGTAACTTTACAAAAAGGTCCCACTTTTATCAGAGTGTTCTCGAATTAACCAAGTTATTCCTCCAATGGATATTTTAAACCCAAAAACCTCTCTTGAGCTATACAATTTTTAATCATGAAATCTGTTATACTTCAGACACAAATCAACCTCTGTTTCTGCTCGCAGTCAATCTCTGTTTCTCCATGGAGTCATAGAGAAAAAACGTAATTTTTATCGAAAACAGAGCAAGCTATTGTTCTGCATTTGAAGTTTTTGGTGAATGAATTCGAGATGGGTGATTCAGAAACTGACCTCTCAAATTCCTTCTTGCTTCTCCACCATCTTATGCACTTCGAAGATCCTAATCCAGCAGAGCCCAAGTCACCAAGTCTCGACCTTTCTCCTCAACCATGTCGACATCAGTCTCCTCTTATCCCTCTGCGGCAGAGAAGGCTTGTTTCCTCATCTTGGTCCTTCTCTCCACGCTTCCATTGTCAAAAACCCTGAGTTCTTCGAACCCATTGATGCTGATATCCATCGAAACGCCCTCGTTGTTTGGAACTCTCTGCTCGCTCTGTATGCTAGGCGCGGTGAATTTGTTAATGCACTCAAGCTGTTCGACGAAATGCCTATGGTAGATAACATTTCTCGGAACACAGTGTTTAGTGGGTTTCTGAAGAACAGAGAGATAGAGTCTGGTTTTGTGTTGCTTAAGAGGATGCTTAGACCCGGTGGGTTTGATCAAGCAACCTTGACGATTGCTTTATCGGTTTGTGATACTCCACTGGTGACCAAGATGATTCACGCTTTAGCAGTTTTAAGCGGTTATGACAATGTGATCCCAGTGGGGAACAGTTTGATCACGTCTTATTACAAATGTGGATGTTCGGTTTCTGGGAGGCGGGTTTTTGATGAGATGGGGCAAAGAAATGTCATCACTTGGACGGCTGTGATTACTGGTTTGGTACAGAATGAGTTACATGAAGATGGTCTAAGATTGTTTAGTTTGATGCGTAAAGGATTGGTGCATCCGAACTCAGTAACTTATCTGAGTGCTTTATCTGCTTGTTCAGGCTCGCAGAGGGTAATAGAAGGGAAACAGATTCATGCTCTGTTATGGAAAGTTGGGACTGAATCAGAGTTACGTATTGAGAGTATGCTAATGGATATGTATACTAAATGTGGAAGCATTGAAGATGCCTGGAAGATTTTTGAGTCCAGTGAAGAAACTGATGAAGTTTCGATGACTGTGATGTTAGCTGGTTTAGCACAAAATGGTTCAGAGGAAGAGGCTATACATTTCTTCATTAGAATGCTTCAAGCCGGTGTAGAGATAGATGCAAATGTAGTTTCAGCTGTTCTTGGAGTCTCTTTTGTGGATAACTCTTTAGGTCTAGGCAAGCAACTTCATTCTTTGGTTATCAAACGAAGATTCTCCTGTAACACCTTTGTTAGCAACGGACTCATCAACATGTACTCAAAGTGCGGAGATCTGGATGACTCACTCAGCGTCTTTAGACGAATGTCCGAAAGGAACTACGTTTCATGGAATTCAATGATTGCATCGTTTGCTCGCCATGGTCACGGATTAGCTGCCTTGAAACTATACGAAGAGATGATAACGCAAGACGTGAAGCCTACAGATGTTACCTTCTTGTCACTAATCCATGCTTGTAGTCATGTAAAACTGATCAATAAGGGTCAAGAGCTCTTGAAAGAGATGCAACATGTCCATGGAATCGAGCCTAGGACAGCGCATTACGCATGTATCGTTGACATGTTGGGACGAGCTGGTCGTCTAGAAGAAGCTAAGAGCTTTATAGACTCAATGCCAATGAAGCCTGACTCTCTAGTCTGGCAGGCGTTGCTTGGTGCTTGTAGTTTCTATGGTGACACGGAAACAGGGAGATATGCAGCTGAGCAGTTGTTTCAGTCTTCACCTGATAGCTCAGCTCCTCATATTCTGATGGCAAACATATACTCATCGAGAGGACAGTGGAAGGAGAGAGAGAAGACGATCAAGAGAATGAAAGCAATGGGAGTGAGTAAAGAAACAGGCGTAAGTTGGATTCAAATCGAGAACCAAACACATAGATTTGTTGTTGACGACAAGTTGCATCCACAAGTAGAGGCTATACATGATGTTCTCTCTGAATTGTTTGTTGTTATGATCGATGAAGGTTACAGACCTGATAAGAGGTGTAATCTCTTTTAATACAGACATGATGAATACACAAAAGAATCCAATTCCATGGGGTTTATAAAATTTTGAGTTTTGGTAGTTGAAGACCCTCTAGATGAAACAGAGGCAGTATTTTAATTTGCAAATGATGATGAATCCACATATTATAACAAAAATAAAAATATATAATGATACTGTGATTTTATTACTATTGATGATTTGGAAATTTGGTATGTAAACATATTTTTCAACTAAATCAAAATTAAATGACAAATTAATCACTTTTATTGCCTAATTAAAGATTATATAAACGACTGATAGTGTATTTGTAACCCCACATGCCACTAAATTCCTCTTGAGTTTGAAGATTAAAAAGTAGAATTGGCACACAAATAAAAGGTAGCCGTTACATAAAAAAAATAGACCGTTGGGGACCAATTAATACAAATTAAATAAAAAATAATAAGCCAAAGATCCGTTACGAAAATAATCCCCTTTATCCTGTCTCAAATTCTCTCACTAGACTTTTCATTCAGACAACCACAAACTAGACAGAATCCCTGTCCGAAGCTGAGAAAGATTTCAACTTGTTTCGAGTTTATGTTTCTGTCCGTAAGTTAAAAAAAGTCTAGAGAGAGAGAGATCTGGGTTTCTAGAAACTGCTTTGTGAGAATGGTTGCAAGAACCCCACAAAAGCAGAGGAAAGTGGCGATGGTGGTGGCGCCTCCTCTCAACTCAGAACTTCTCAGGGAAACAATCAACAAGGTTTGTATGCTGGTCCAATTAAGTTACATCATTAGCATAAAGTTTACAACTTTTTTATTTTAATCTACTTCTTACCAGAATTTGCAAACGCTCCAGCTCTTAGGCTCCTTCCCATTATGTTTAAAACTTTGCTTAACAACAATAGTTGAACCCACCGCAAATAAAATTGTCTATTTTCTGGCCCCAAGTTGTTAAAAGGATCTTTCTTTTAATGGATTATAAGTAATCTCATGTTAGTTTCCACCATTGATGGGATCTTCTTAATACTTGAGGAACATACAGTCTATGAATTAGATTTTTTGGAGCCCAACATTGGCCCTTTAGCTGATTTTTTGTCAATGATGTGTTGAAGGTTGATAAATGTATGGAAAGGCTGCAAGAGCTGCAATACACAATAGCAGGAGGAAACAAAGTTGTCTCTGGTGTGAACCTTAGCCCTCGAAGCACTAGAACTTACTTGAAGACTAGCCTTAGATGCAAGCAAGAAACTCTAAGGTAAAAATCCAGAAGTAAACAAAACTCAAACCTATTTACTTACATAGAAACATAGGTGTTGTCAGAATCTTCATTTTTCTAGTTTTAATTTCTCAGTTATTATTACTCAATTGTTGTAGAATCAAGAATGCTACTAACAAGAAATCTCCAATAGGAAAGTTTCCAGCTTCTTCACCAGGTTAATTTCTATTTATGTTTCAGCAAGTTGGTCCTAGTATCTGCATATTGTGCAATGTATATAATCTTTTCTTCCAATGCAGGAGACTGGAGGAAAATGTCACTACCAGCAATGCTACTAGGAGAGACAGTAAACGAAATCTTACAAGCCTCACAGGTCACCAAAGACATTGTAGATGCACTTGCACCAAAGAAGAGTAGAAACTCCAGGAGATCAATAATACCAGAAGAAGATGATAGCCCTAAAACACCTGAAACTCATCAGAAATCTAGGGAGCAGAACCCTGAAACTACTGTCAGCAGCAATATCAAAGCCAGAAGGAAGAAAGAGAAGCAGAACAAACGTTCAGAACCAACTTCTCCTAGGGCTCGTTCAAGAATTGTGTTCAAGATCGTCTCTCCACAGACAAAAGTAGAGAAGGTTCAGCATTTGGCAAATAGGGTTTCACCAAAGCACAAACCTTGGGTTAAAAAAGCGGTTCTTTTTCCAAACCCTTTGTTTATTGCTGGTTCCTCCACGCAACAAGCTAAGTTCAGTAGAACAATGTCTCCGGTCATAGCCAGAAGCAAGAACACTAAGAAAGAGTCACCACACAAGTTCTTGATCAAGTCTCCTACCAAATCACCAGCGAAGTTTCAGGTCAGGATCAAGAGCCCGCCTAAAGTCTCTGTTTCTCCTAACAGAAACGGAAGTAACTTGGCTCGGAAGTCTCCGTTAAGAAGTGCTTCCTTGGGAAAGAAGTCTCCAACTAAGCTATCAGCTGCTGGGAAGCTCAGAAGATCATTCACTCCAACGAGAAACGGAAGTAACGTGTCCCGCAAGACGTCTATTTCCCCCAAAAGAGTCACGCTTCAAGCTTTTATATCTCCAGCAAGAAACGGTGACTTGGGAAGGAAGTCACCTAAAGCTTTGATATCTCCAAACAACAAGACGCAGAAGCTATCAACTGCAGCGAAGCTGAGGAGGTCATTCTCGCCATCAAGGCTAGCGATGAGGCTGGTGTCTCCAATGAAGACAAGGAGAAGTGTAGGGAGATGTGGTGATGATGATGAGATGGGGATGAAGGTGAGTGGCTTGAGACAGCGTCCGGTTATAGTTCCTAAGAGATTCTCGATGGGGAGAATCTCATAAGAGAGAGTTTGAAATGAAACAATAGTGCAAAGCTCATAAGATAATGTGTTACTCCTATTGAGTATGGTTCTTGATTGTGTCATCTTTATACATATTTGCAAATTAAATTGAGTGTGTTAGTGATCCAAATGGCAGTTAGTACTTTCTTTTGCTTTATAGGTTCTCACTTCTTGGTTTTATCTCTTGCCTTTTCATGACATATAAAAGCATTTTAAAGATGAAACTTGACTAATACTTTCACCCAAAGCAAAGAATCTAAAGTTGCATAAGCGTTAACAAAAAGCTTTGGCTTTGCTTCTCTCCACTTCCATTTACACTCAATGTGCTAGGCTCAAGCCAAGAACAACCAGAGATATTATTAAAGTCATCTCAATTCGGCTTCAACGCAGAGATGGAAACTTCAAAAAACTCATCACTCTTCCAATGTTTAGGTCTTATAGAAAATTATGATGAGCCTTCTGATTCTACCCTTCCTAGAGTTATCACTCTTCTCGCTTCACTTCTTGGGAAGATGATTCAGAAGACCGAAAAGTCACTCCACACAAGACATAACAAGTTATGTTTTGTTAATGTGTAAAAATTGAGATCTGTCTTGGATAGTTTCTTTGTACTCTGAAGTCTGATCTCATGTTTGAATCTCATGATGATCAACAGGGAAGGGGAGATCACTATGTTCCATGGGTCAAGAGCTCCATCGATGAACATTCATCGCTACATAGAGAGAGTCTACAGGTACACTCGGTGTAGCCCTGCGTGCTTCGTTGCAGCCTTTGCTTACATCCTGAGGTATCTAGAAATACCAGTGGATACAAGCGTGGCTCGTCGTCTCACATCACTCAACGTTCATCGCCTTCTCATTACAAGTCTCTTGGTCGCAGCCAAATTCTTGGACCGCAAGTTAGTATCTTCTTAACTATACCTAAAATTTCTCATACTCTTGTAATCAGAGTTTTTGGTTTTGGAGTTTAGGTGCTATAACAATGCGTATTATGCAAAAATTGGAGGAGTGAGCACTGAAGAGATGAATAGGCTGGAGAGAACGTTCTTGTTCGATCTTGATTTTAGACTAAATATTACAACAGAGATGTTTGAGAAACACTGTCTCATGTTGCAGAGAGAGACGGTGGCTTGTGGTTCAAGAAAACTTAGAACAGTTCTTGGAGAGTTGACTTGTAGTTGCCAAGCGATCTAATAAAACAAAGTCCATAAGATTTGCTTAGATCTTCTTTCATCACCAATAATGTATGTTTATCATACTTATTTGAAGAAACAGATCAATGAAAAGAAACAAACAAGAAGTAAATACTACAAGAACTAAATACTGTACCGGTCTAACAAGTTTAGATGCCTTAAACAAATTTTTAACAATATATTTTTACATTTTTTCCTAATAATCATATATAAATATATATATATATATATAATATAAAAGATCAGATTATTTTTTACTAATTCAACTGCATTAATAATTAATTAATTAAAATTAAGTTATAAAATTAATTGTATATCAATATTTTGTTAATATTATCACTAATATTTGATCATAATTTATTAAAATCAATTGTTAATACAAAATATCACATTTAAACTAAACAATTACAGTTTACTTAAATTTATAGAATTTTTACTAATAGTTTAATCATTTTTACGTATATTTTATATGATTTTATTAAATTTTATATGTAAACATAATTTATATTTATTAGGTAACAATAATATTTATAAAATATTAGTATTGTTTATATAACTTTTATTAATAAATATATTACAAGGATTGAAAAATAACTAAACAACTTAAAAAAAACATTAGTTATACTGGTATAAGAGAATATTGGATTTTGCTCATTAGCTACTTATTCTTAATAAATAATATTTATCTAAATAATTCTACATATTTATAAATATTAATAAAAAAATTTAAAAATATGTCTCGTTAATTTAGATGCGTTAATCGATGGTATGAGTGGTTTCCCCTCAGGTTACCCTGAGTAAACATAGTTAAGTTTAGAATCAAAACTTTTGTTTGCTAACTGAACAAGGCACTTGAAAGTTGAAACATATTGTCCGTTTGACAAAATCCAAAGCTGATTTTCTTAATTAGAAATGGTCCATTGAGAACTAAATTTGGCTACTAAATGTCGACCTAACGCTCTTATTTAGGGTTGGGCCAAGTAATAATACATACGAGTATGATGGGGGGGGGGTAATTTGTGAGATCAAAGTCAAAATGGTTACTTCATATATATTCCAAATTCAGATGATTTAAATTTATTATTTGGCTTATTAATTAACACTTGTATGTAGCTTAATAGTTAGTGTGTGCCTTAGACTACTGCTTGTTGATGGAAAATTAACTACATTTTTTTACTGGACAGGATCAAAACTATCAAAGCTTTACTCCTTATATATTACAAGGTCAGACCTACTTGCCTAAACACGTATCCATTGATACGTATAGATTATCGAATATATGTACCACATGGATGTATGAATATTTAAATTAACAACAATTGCTCGTGACAAAAAAAAAATTAACAACAATTGCATACTTGGTTAATTTATGGCTACGGTGACGTACGGCTACGGCCTACCAGTGGGAGGCTACGTACGCGGTACGGTGCGCGCATGAAAAACTATTATGAACGTATTAGAAATGTTATATGTGTTTTCTTACTCCATATAAATTCTCACTTTTGACTTATAGAATAACATATAAACCGACTTCCTTTAGGATTGTGTGCCCGATCTCACACCGATTTTCTCAAGGATTGGTCTAATATATACGCACGTTACAGACCATGATATAAACTATAATATATGTTTGGGTTGTAGATAGTTGACTTTCTGAAGTTTTGAGTTTCCTCGTTGGTGCCCCATGCATGTTGCAAGCAATTAATGGAAAGAAAGATACATATACGGATACTCATTGTCCACACTATTTTAAAAATTCTAGATACTTGCATATACTCCGTATTCAAGTCTCTTTTGTTTAGCTGCACATGGTATTTCATTTTCAGCACCTTTTGTGGCCAATATGAATCTACAGACTATAACTGAATCGACATTAATGCAAAAACAAAAATTAAGCATCCTCGTTGACCTTCACCGATGTAATGTTTTACAATATTGACTTATGGATTATATATATATAATTTCTTAAAAGAAATATGTACATATATGAATTCGAAACTACAATAAAAAGGTTTGTTTATATATGTGGCCATAAGAACACACATAAGGTTGAAAGCCTTTTACAAAAAAAAAAAGAAAAACACACACAAGGTTGGTTAATTAAATTATAAAAATCAATAAATATACGAATATAGCGACATGTTGGAGGCCATTGTCGTCAAGTAAGAAAGAAACCGATAGTAACATTTTATTTCCATGAATAATATAAACTCTTTTAATGATAGTTTCAATATTAGGACGTTATAAAAATCATAATTAGACTGAACGCGTGAAAATAAAAAATTATTCCACCAACCCATACCAAGAATACTTCAATATTAAATTCAGCCGTTACCTATATTTTATTTATAATATTCACAAGAAGCTTCATCATTTCCCGTCCAAATCTTTCCCCTTTAACACTTTTCTCCGTGATTATGTCTTGTTTCTGTTCAAGAAGCTTCATTACCAAAAAAAAAAGAAGCTTCATTATCCTCTGTTTTTCAAATATTTTATTCCTTTAAGAAAACAACAAATATTAATCCATGAAAACCTTAAGTTTGTATATTCTTGTGGGTTCTTAGTTGTCAGTGAGTCAGGTGACTACGATTGGCTCGATTATATTAATCAGATAATTCTTTTTCCTTATTATTAGCCTTTTTTCGATTCCAGCTTTGCTTCACTTTAAAGCCTTCTCCAAAATAAAAAATAAAAACTCATAATCCGTGATTCGAGCGATTTCTCGTCGATTTTTTGTTTTGCTTCTTCTATTCTTGTTTTTATTTGTCTTACTCTCCATCACCATATTTGATAGAACAATATCAAAAATTAAAATAAAGGGTAAGCCATAACTTCCTCTTTTAGGTTTTATTCCTTTGTGATGTTCGCCTTCAACTTCAGACCTAAAACAAAAAAAAAAAGGATTTTGATTACATCCCAATCTTTTAACAGACTCGAATCTCTCTGGGTTTAATCGATCTGCATGTCATGTTCTAAGACCGATTCATCCGACCCCTGTTTTTGAATAAAGTTTCGATTTTTAAGGTTTATTACCTCTGTAATTGCATGCATGTTGGGGTCTGATTACTATTAAAGCTCTGATCTTTCGATCAGATTATGAATAAAGTTTCATTTTTTTAGGGTTCTTAACTCTGCAATTGCATGCATGTTAACTTTTGGTATCTGAATAGTGTTAAAGCTCTGTTTTTTGTCTTCTTCCGATTCATGCAGATTTTGATTGGAGAAGAAGGTGAATCTAAAGCTATTAATCTCTCTATCGGATGAATTCGCCGTCAAGTTACAAGAATTCGAGACTCTTTTCGAAATCCATCGCTTTGAAATGTCTTCTTCTTGTTGGTATTGCTCTGTTTTACAAAGCTCTGTTTCTCTCTGACTCTCCTAGAAACGCTCTCTTGTTTCGAGCTCGTTACACGTCAGATTCTTCCTCAATTGATGGAGTTAGGACAGATAAGTTTCTAGAGGTTCCACAGATCGTATGGGGATTGAACAATCAGAAGATAGCTTTTGCAAGAGCTTGTTTGACGGCTAGAACGATGAACAGAACGCTTCTCATGCCTAGCTTAAGCGCTTCCTTGTTCTACAAGGAAGTGGATAAGCTTCTTCCGCTTCCGTTTGAGAAAGTGTTTCAGTTCGAAAGATTCAACTCTCTGTGTAATGGGTTTGTGCGTCTTGCTCGATTCTCTGAGGTAAAAAACAGAACACAAGTTTTTGATTTGGAGAAAGGTAGTGGAAGAAGATGGACAGTGGAGAGAGACATGGAACAGTTGAAAGAATCTGTATCCATGGATGAGTTTGAAGTGATCCGTGTCAGAGGGAAGAATCCTTTCTTGTGGCATGATCATTGGCCGGTTAAGGACTATGCTAAGGTCTTTGAATGTATGGTTGTTGTTGATGAGATCTCAAGAGAAGCAGAGAAAGTTGTGAGGAAGATCAGAGAAGCAGGGGAGAAGGAAGCTAGAGGGAGACTTGAGCAGGATCCTATTCCTTTTGTTGCGGTTCACATGAGGATAGAGATAGATTGGATGATACATTGTAAGAAGCTAGAGCAGAGGCAAAAAGTATCAGAGATTTGTAGTAGTAAAAGAGAGATTATGGAGAGAGTAGGGAACATTTCAGGTTTAAAGACTCCCACAGTTCTTTACCTAGCGGTAGCTGATAGTCTCTTGGAAGAGAAAAAAGAAGAATCGTCGGTGTTAAAGGGTTGGAGAGATGGGTTGATACCTTTTGAGAAGAAGAAGCTTGGTGTTAAAGAGGAGGTTTACAGCAAATATTCGTATCTGATTCAGTCTGCTATAGACTATGAGGTGTGTTTAAGAGCAGATGTTTTTGTTGGTAATAGCTTTTCTACTTTCTCTAGTCTCATTGTTCTTGAGAGGACGCAGAAGGTGAGAAGGTTAGGGTTTATGAGTTCTTGTGAAGATGGTGGAAACATGTGGAGGTCGTATGCTTATAATTTGGCTGGAGAATCAGAGGGAGTTCCAAGGAGATGGATGACGAATATGACTCATTCTAGCTTGGAAGCTATTAGTTATGGCTCAAACTCTGTTTCTTGTTCAAGTGAGTGAAGTTGACTTTGTAGAATTAGTTTTTTTTTGGTCTTTTTATACAATTCGTTTATTTGTGGGGGTACAAAGTCGTGTAGCTTTTAGGTCTTTGTTCTTCAAATTTGTCTTTTTGTAACGATTGTGAGAAAAGAGAAAGAATTGAAATCTACTGAACCAGTTTTTTTAGTTATTACACAAGTTAAGTTATTACATTTGGATATTTCTTCAGCTAAAAGTTTAGCTATGTTTTTCTTATTGCCGTTTTATGTAAAAACATTTTATGATTATTAACGAAGAAGAAATATCTATACATGACAACACGCATATGTTTTGAAGCTTGAAATATGTATAGTAATCATGGCTTCAAGTTTCACTAAGTAACTGTTCAATGGACATTCACAATTTTTTATAATTCTACAATTTTTGGGCATTATTATTGTGAATTTTGTTGTGCTAACACATAGTAATATTGATGTTGGAGTGTTATCACAGAGGAAATGATTAACTTGCCATCAGCATGAGTGAAGACCTATCTGCTCAACTTCCCCACTCATGGTGAAGGATTTCCCAGAACCAGCTGATCCATAAGGCGCAAGAGGCTTCAGGTGAGAAAACACAACATCTGCAAACAAAATTCAAAGAATATAAGTTAATTATTTGTAATGAAAGATACATAAATAATTAAATGTTGACCTTGTTCATCTTCAGGACTGAAGACATGCTCAAAGTCTCCAAACTTTGACACCCTTTTAGAGGCAATTTTTTTAGTGTCAAAGTGATTTGGAGGTCTTTCTTTTTCTCTAGGTCATTACCTCTTTTGACCCTATAGAAGAACTTAACATCCATTTCTCTGAAACAAAAAGAATCTATACTATTAAAAGGGACTAATCGAGGCTCATGGGAGCGTCCACCTCATCATAATAACCCTATTTAAAAAGATGCCACATGGCAAATTTAAAGTTTTACATTTTAATATTACTAATTTTCAATAATATATAAACATACAACATAAAAATAGAAATACTATATCAAACATATGTAAAATTACCATTTTTCACTAAAAGAAAATACAGCTTATCTCCATAATATAACATTACCATTTTATAAAAAAAAGTTAAAAAGATTATATATNTAATTTTCAATAATATATAAACATACAACATAAAAATAGAAATACTATATCAAACATATGTAAAATTACCATTTTTCACTAAAAGAAAATACAGCTTATCTCCATAATATAACATTACCATTTTATAAAAAAAAGTTAAAAAGATTATATATAATTTCGAAAATAATAAATTATATGTAAACATACAGCATAAAAAATGAAAAAACTACATTAAACATATGTAAGATTGCCATTTTTCACTAAAACAAAATACAGCTTATCTCCATAATGTAACATTAACATTTTACAAAAAAAAATCAATAAACATATAATTTCGAAATTAATATGTAAACATAAAACATAAAAAATGGAAATACTAAATTAAATATATGTAAGATTATCATTTTACATTAAAAAATAACAATATGTAAACATACAACATAAATGGAAAACTACATAAAACATATGTAAGATTACCTTTTTCACTATAAAAATTAATATGTAAACATACAACATTTAAAATGGAAATACTACATTAAACATTTATATTAAAATATTAAAATAAATAATAAGTAATATACAATTAAAAATATAGAAATAGTACATTAAAAAAATGTATAGTTTTACATCAAACAAATCCCTATAAAATCCATTATTCCATCAACATCAGTCTCACACCTCTTAAAAAAGATCTCTAAAGAACTTCAGAAAAAAAGAGGATTGTGTGTAGTAGAAAACTAAAGAACGAAAAAGAAATGAACTGAAGGAAATAGAGCATCCAATTTGTATTATACAGGCCGTTCTTGCAACTCCTAACATCAACAACTCTTGCGAAGATGATGGCAGTTCATAAGCACATATTTATTCCTCGGAGGATTTACATGTAATATTATATTTAGTTGGTCACACTAACACTTTGATTTCATTAATAAAAAAAATTTCTCTCTCCTTGAGTTATATATATTGATGTTGATGGTACTTCTATTAAAATTGACTAATTGAGATTATAAGAAGCATGCACATCATTGTAGAACCTCTCTTCGAAAAATATAAAAAAATAATAATAAACAATATAAGGAAAATAAATAATTATTTAATATATAATAGAAATATAAAAAAATATTATATTAAATATCTATCTCGGAAATGTAGAATAAAAAGATAAGCAAATATGCAAAATAAAAATATGTAAATATATAATATAAGAAATATAATATTACAATAAACATCTATAATAATATTATCATAAAAATAAATAAATATACAATATAATAAATATAAAACTTATACAATCTAAAAATATAACTATTACATTGAACATTTATCTGAAAAATAAACAATATAAGAAAAATAAAAAAAGTAAATATACAAAAAAATAGAAATATCACTTCAAAAATATTTCTGGATAATATATAATAAAATAATTAATAAGAAAATATAAAATATAAAAATAGGTAAGCATACAATATAAGAAATAAAAATATTACATTAAACATCTATTGTTATATTGTCAAAAAAATTAAATATACAATATAAAAAAATATAAAATTAGTAAATATACAATATAAAAATAGAAATATTACATTAAAAATCTATTTGAAAAATGTATAATAAAATAAGTAATAAGTATATATGCAATATAAAATAGGTAAATATACAGTATAAGAAATATAAATATTACATTAAACATCTAGCATAAAATTATCATTTAATTTAAAAGTAAACATATTAAAATAAATAAATATACAATATAAGAAAAAAATAAACAAAAAGTAAATATACAATATAGGAAATAAAAACCAAATTAAACATTTATCTTAAAAATATACAGTAAAATAAATAATAGGCAAATATACACTATAAAAAAATAGAAAAGGTAAATTAAAAATATATTGTAATATTAGAATATGTAAATATATAAAATAAATAATATGTTAATAGACAATATAAGAAATAAAAATATTACATTAAACATCTATCGTAGTATTACCCTTTGATATAAAAGTAAGAAACTAGAATAAGTAAATATACAATATAAAAAAATGAAAATAAAAATTACAATAAATTGCTATCTGAAAAATGTAAAGCTTTAAATTTTTATTAGTTTGAAATATTTGTATGAGTAAATAAACAGTATAAAATAATATAATAATAAAAAAATATGCAATACAAAAAAATAGAAATCTTATATTAAACATATATTGTAATATTAGAATAGGTAAGAAGAAAATATAGAATAAATAATAAAT